GAGGGTAATTTGTTAGTTAAGCCACACTGAGGTATTATCCTTTACCTACGACATCGGGAAAAAAAAGAACACCCAGTCGAGGAGAGAGCGGGGACACGGGCACTCTCATACAGTGATGTTGGAAGTACAAAATAAAAACAGTGCAGCTCTTATGGGGCTAATTTGGTGCTTCTAACAAAATCAGAAAATTATTTACCTTTTACCAAGCACTCCCACTTCTGGAAATTTATCCTACAGGTGCACAATGTAAAAAAAAAAAACAAAATGTGTCAAGAGAATAGAAAGACAAGCCACAGATTCGGAGAAAACATTTGCAAAAGATATGTTATTCAAAAGATACAAAGAACTCTTAAAACTCAACAATGAAAAACAAACAACCCAATTTAAAAATAGGCAAAAGATCTCAATAGATACCTCACCAAAAAAGATATACAGATGGCAAATAAGCATATGAAAAGATGTTCATGCATGATATGCCACTAGGGAACTGCAAATTAAAACAAGAATGAGATGCCACCACACCTATTAGAATGTCCAAAACCAGAACACTGATAACACCAAATGTTGGCAAGGACTTGGAGCAACAGGAGCTCTCATTCATTGCTTGTGGGACAGCAAAATGGTACAGTAACTTTGGAAGACAGTTTGGCAGTGTCTTATAACACTAAACACACTCATCATATTCAGCAATTGTGATCCTTAGTATTTACTCAAAGATTTGAAAATTTGTGTCCACACAAAAACCTGCATATGGATGTTTGTAGCAGTTTTATTCATAATTCCCCAACTTGGAAGCAACTAAAATATCCTTTAGTAAGTGAATGAATAAATTGGGGTACATCCAGACAATGGAATATTATTCAGTGCTAAAAAGTAAGATGCTATTAAGGCCATGCAAATGCAAGGCTGAAACTTAAGTGTATATTACTAAGTGAAAAAAGCCAGTCTACAAGGGCTATATACTGTATGATCCAACTATATGATATTTTGGAAATGCGCAACTATGGAGACAGTAAAAAGATCAGATTGTCAGAGGTTGTAGAGAAGGAGGGATGAATAGGCAGAACACAGAGGATTTTTCGGTCAGTGAAACTACTCTGGATAATACTATAATAGTGCGTACATGTCATTTTACATTTGTCCAAACCCATAGAATGCACAACGCAAAGTGTGAATCCTAATGTAGATGATGCACTTAGATTCCAGGTCTGGGCAGCAAAGAGACATGGTAAAGTGGGAAACAGGAACAACAGAAAAAGAAGCTCTCAAATAGTAGTAAATTCATGTCAAACAGACTCAAAAGCCAATTCAAATATGTTCCCATCAGCCAAAGATGGAACAACTATGCATCAATAGGAATAATAACTGTAATGGATCAAAATACACCAAATGGGTTTAAATTCATGAATTCACAATGACACTTTTAAAATATTATTGGTAATCTTTGGAGGATGCTAGAGAATCATCTCATTATTTGATAATTGGTTTGAAAAGGAAATAATTAAGCATTTATCCTTTCTTAAGTGAACTGTACTTCAATGAAATGAGACAGTTATAGAAAGAATAAAAGAATTAGATTTTACCATGGTGAATTAATGGATATAGAAACTGATCATCAACAGCTGATACCATTATAACAAGAGAGATGACCAGCCAGCTGTGGTGGTTCATGCCTGTAATCCCAGCACTGTGGGAGGCTGAGGCAGGTGGATCACTGAAGCCCAGGAGTTCAAGAGCAGCCTGGGCAACATGCCAAGACACTGTCTCTACAAAAAAATACAAAATTAGCCAAGTATGGTGGCACATGCCTATGATCTCAGCTACTTGAAAGGCTGAGGTGGGAGGATCCCTTGAGCCCAGGAGGCAGAGGTTTCAGTGAGCTATGATCACACCACTGCACTCCAACCTGGGCAACAGAGTGAGACCCTGTTTCAAAACGAGAGAGAGAGAGACAGAGAGAGAGAACCAGTCAATATGTGTCTCTTGTAATGGCCATTGTAAGAAATGCCATTATAGAGGAGAATCTATAGATTAAATACATGTAAAGAAATACCAACCATTTACAATGTGGTGCACCTTGTGGTGTATAGACCCTATGGTGACCTCATGATGCCTGTCACTTGGTATTCATGCCTTTCATAATTCCCTCTCCTTGAGTATGGACAGGACCTATGACTTGCGTATAGCGCAATAATATAGCAAAGGTAAAGGACTTTGGTGTATGTAGTCAAAATCACAGATCAGTTGATTCTGAGTTAATCAGAATGAATACTGTAGTCAACTGTAACACAATGGTAAGTACTTGTGTATCTAAACATAGAAAAAGTGTAGTATAAAAGATAAAACTGGTACACCTGTACAGGGCACTTACCATGAATGGAGTCTAGGGTCAACTAATCTTTGACAAGAATGCCAAGAATACACAATATGGAGAAGGATAGTCTCTTCAATAATGGTATTGGGAACACTGGATATTCACTTGCAGAAGAATGGAATTAGGTCTGTATCCTAAACCATACACAAAAATTAATTCAAAGTGGATTAAAGACTTAATGTAAGGCTTGAAACCATAAAACTCCTGGAAGAAAACATGGAGGAAATGCTCCTTGACATGGTCTTGGCGATGACGTTTTTTGATATGACACCAAAAGCTCCTATAACAAAAGCAAAAATAAACAAGTGGTACTACATCAAACTGAAACGTTTCTGCATAAAATATACACAAACTATATATCAAATATATTTGAGGAACTCATACAACTCAATAGCAAAAATCAACCTGATTTTAAAATGGGCGAAAGACCCAAATAGACGTTTCTCCAAAGAAGACATACAAATAGCCAACAGGTATAGGAAAAGATGCTCAACATCACTAATCATGAGGAAAGTGCAAATCAAAACCATAATAAGGTATTATCTCCCACCTGTTAGAATAGCTATCATCAAGAAGACGAGACAAGTGTTGGTGAGGATGTGGAGAAAAGGGAACCCTTGTGTACTATTGATGGGAATGTCAATTGGTATGGCCATTATAAAAAATAGTATGGGTGTTTGTCAAAAATTAAAAATAGAACCTCTTGTGATCTGGTAATCCCACTTCTGGGTATATATTCCAAAGGAAATGAAATCAGTACCTCGAAGGGATATCTGCACCCCCATGTTTATTGTATTATTCACAATAGCATAGCCAAGATATGGAAACAATGTAAGGATCTGTCAACAGATGAATGGATAAAGAAAATGTGCTGTATATATACAATGGAATATTATTCCTCCATACAAAATGGAAATCCTGCCACTTGCAACAACATGTAAGTCTATTATCTACATGTTTTCCTAGGCATGTGCTTATTTCACTCAGTTTGGGTTCTCCTTGGAGTTTTTCTTATGTTGCATTGGTTCTCCTGCACCTTTTGAACCCAATGGTAGAATTCAGCCTTGATTTACAAACACACATGCACACACACACACACACACACACACACACACACATACACACACCATGCGCTCACAAGCAGTAGATGACTTTCCATAATGTTGTAGTGATATAGGAGGGATTCTCTATTTCAAAGAAACACAACTAAATTTAGCACTGGCATCCTCATTCTGAGAAGGCTCCTTCTGATCATGCCACCACAGGGGTTTTTCCCTTGTCCTCCACCCTCTTTCAAGCTCCTATTCTTAAACTCAGCTAGAAGCCCAGACACACAACTTGGTGCTCTCCAGAACAGAATAGGCTTTCATGTATGGAAATACACCCTCCGCAATAAGCGATGCTGATTGTACATTGTGACCATTCCGCCTTTGGTGCATAAACGGTGCTGTAAGTTCTGAGATATTTTCCCATTGTTATTCCTTAGGAATTTGACAGGACCCCTGTGACACATCATACAGAACATGGATCTCTTCGATGGGTTTTACTTAGCATGAAGGTGAATGCTCCCACCCAAGACCAATAGACCCACAGCTTCTGTCTAAGACCTGTAGAATAAGACACCTGGATCACATATTGTCACACTTCAATCTGCAGGATATTATTTCTTATTTTTCTAGTTATTTCTTTCCTCTTTGGTGGTTTAAGTTTCTGGACTGTTACCAAACAAGTTTTACTTCCTGATATGGTATATATAAGGCCCTTATCTTCAGCATTTCTCTTTATATCCTAAGACACTCCTTGGTATGACTCCAACATGGGATTGCAATTTGTGTGGGTAACCCCCCATCTGGGCACAGAGGAAGGAGAGCCAAGCAGATCCCCAGCACAATTCGTACCTGAAGAATATCTTAGTTTATGGTGTTACTAGTCAGTTATTTCCTTTATATAATCCTTTATATATAATGTATTAGTTTATAGTCTGAACAATTAGTGCCTGAAGATTATCTTACTACTCAGTTATTTCCATATATATATACATATATATATATAATTATATCTTAGTTCATAGTCGGAGGAATGCCTAGAGCAGACACGGCACAGAGCATGAATTAAGGAATAAGCGGCTATATATATATATATATATATAATCTTATCTTGCTTATAGTTGGAGGAATGTCTAGAGCAGAAACGGTGCAGAGCATGATTTAAGGGAAAAAAACAGCAGCTATACCAGGACAAGAATTTGCAGCCCAGGTGGCAGCGTTCAGTATCGTAAAGATACCTGCTGTATGGCAGGCTTGGAGCAAGAGTCACTCCTCCCGAAGATGAGTTGCAGTACCTTGCATCCAGTTCTTGTGGAAAGCTGGCCTCAGGTGGGCAAGCCCGCAAGCATCAGAGGGCTTAAAACCCCTCTGGTATAATCGTGCTTTGGTGGCTGTATAACCTGTCAAATCTCTAGCTACTGTGCTGACTCAAAGCACCCTCCTAAGAAATCATTAGAAGCTGCCAGCAGGTGGCGGTAGACCCTGTCAGCTCTGTCACTACTGGGCTGACTCAAAGCATCCTCCTGTAGAATTCCTTAGAAGTATGGCCGTTAGCCTGCCCCCAGATAAGCGATATTGCACACTGCACCCTCTTCGCTGTGCACGGCCCACCTCCTTGCCTCAGTGACCTAATGAGGGTGGACCCCTTGCTGCACACGGCCCACCTCCTTGCCTCGGTGACCTAATGCGGGTGGACCCTTTGCTTATCACACACGTGATTATCTTGACCCTATCACTATCCTTAAGTTAACCTCACTCACTACCCTGCCCCCAACCTATACCCAATAAATACAGATGCTCCTGGACTTTCGGGGCCTCGCCTGTCTGTGATCATAGGTGGCATGCCCCCCACCCCCCACCAAGCCCAGCTGTCTTTTCCACTCCTTCAGTGTCCTATCTCTTTGTTTCTCAGATCCTGTGCCTCAGCACAGTGATAGGGGACACCCCACGACCCTGTAGGGCTTGACCCTACAATTTGCTCATGATTTTACTAAAATATGCATTCAAACTGACTGTTGGGTTTGTCTCAACCTTCTTTCAGTGACACCTTACCTCCATTTAAAACAACTCCTTGTAATTGATCAACCAACTCCTTGTAATAGATCAACCAACTTGTAAGGTAACTGAACTCAACCTCTGAGAGACTTTTTAGATGTCAAACACAATAGGCCAGGAAAACAAAAAGCTAAACTCCTTATCATACCATCCCTAAAAGTGGAGATTCCTCTCTCCACTGAAATAATACTTGAGACTATTTTGTGAATTTTATGTTTTAAAACTGAACTTCCACCAAAATGGAATTGAGAAAGCTTTGAGGAAGAGATGGCGTCTATTCAGAGGTTATCTCACTTTTGTACAACTTAACAAAAAAGGCATATTATGTAGAATCAACCTAAAGTTCTTTTGGTTTAGATCTACCTGAGGGTCTCTATTACTAAAAATGTCAATGCTTGGCACCAGACCAGTCTTGCTAAATGGTTCAACACATTATGATATTATTTGACACCCTGTAGGGGTTATTTTGGCCAAAGACTGATCACTGGATGGCCCCTAATGACTAGTATTCAGGCTAGGTGCTGTGGCTCACACCTGTAATCCCAGCACTTTGGGAGGCCAAGGTGGGTGGATCACCTAAGGTTAGGAGTTCAAGACCAAACTAGCCAACATGTTGAAACCCCATCTCTACTAAAAATACAAAAATTAGCTGGACATGCTGCCATGCACCTGTAATCCCAGCTACTCCGGAGGCAGAGGCAGGAGATTTGCTTGAACCCAGCAGGTGGGGGTTGCACAGAGCCAAGATTGCACCATTGCACTCCAGCTTGGGCAACAAGAGCAAACTCTGTCTCAAAAAAAGAAAAAAAAGATATACCTTGGTCAGCAGTAGCATACAGATGACCAGGGTAGGGTGATCCATCACTGGATGTGTACTTGACACTGGCAAAGGTACTAGCTTCTCAGATAAGAAAAGGGCACAGCAACACAATAGGGGTTAAAGTCAGAGGTCATCTGTGGCCAGGAGTAGGGATTGGATTGTCCCTTGGGTATCACTCAAGTGGCATTAGTGGTTTGGAGGGATAAACCATTTGGGTGTGGGGAACAGGTCCAGCTGTGTCCTATGGTACCTTCAGTGGAGGACGTGGGTGGCAGGATGAGGGCATCTTTCTCTGCAGATGCCTGCTGCACAGGGTGAGGAGACACAGGCTGAGGATGGTCCTAGTGGATGGTCCTCGTGAGATCCTCATCGGGATGGAAGGGAAGCGGCTCGGCCCTGCACTCTCCAGGAGGAAGAAGGTAAAGATGAAAGTACCAGCTGGAAGTTCCTTTGCTGTGGTAACAACGCTGGGCTCCCATGTCTTGTGAAAGCCAGTCACTGTCTCTAGTGTGGGCGTGTACACCAGCAGGGGTGGCAGTGTCCTGTTGGTGGTCTCTTATTGTGAATTTCAATATGGTGTAGTCACGGCATAGGCATGTGGCATAATGATCAGGCCTATGGGCAGTACTTTCTTTTTACCACTTGGGGACGCCATTTTCCTACAGATTCTCTCGCAATAACATGAATAGAGGTGGCTGCCTTGCATGGGTAAGCCGATAGATGCCCTTGTAGGTATCCACCACTGTTCAGGTGTACTTAACGGTTCCAGCTGCTGCAGGGAGATGCCCAAGGAGTCAGTTTGCCAGGTTTGATGTAGCCCTTCTCCTCTCTAAATTTTTCCTCCTATGTGGTGGCCCCAATGTCTGGATTGCTGGCGCTGGTAAGGTCCCTAGTGACTTTGTTTAAATGTCCCTCGGCTGGGTCAACTCCTCTCTTCACAACCCATTTTCACAACCTCATGGTGCCCCAGTGCCTTGACCTCATGTGCCCATTGGTAGAAGGGGTCTGGTGGCTTGTCCCCAGGGACTGAGGACTCGCCCTCCTTCGCAGCCCTGCCTGCTTCGCTGGTTTCGTTAGCTTGTCCTTGACATGATATTGCGCCTCCTCCGCGTCTTGCTTAATGTTAGCGAAGGTACCGTGCACAACTATAGGCAGGGCAGGGTGAATTTGGCAATTTACAGCCCCCCCATCTCTTTATCCCAAATGTCTGGGTCTTGTATTTTCAGCCTTGATTTTGCTAACACCCAAACTATGTAGTCAACCCATTAGCCTCTGACCTGGAGTCAGTGAAATACCTTGGGGAAATATTTGCCAAGAGCATGGTCTGTTGCTAGGAGCAGTGCACGCAGCTCAGCCCGCATGGAAACTGGACTGGTTGACTGAGGTTCTGGGCTGCGGGTGTCATGGCCTGGCTCCCGTATTCCCCATGTGCCTCCATCTGTAAAGAAAGGGCGTTGCTTTTCTTGTTTTGAGAGTGCTGTGGTCTTCCTCCTTCTGGTCTCCTCGAGCAACGGGTGGAGGCATTTCTTTTTCTTTTCTTTTTTATTGTACTTTAGATTCTGGGGTACATGTGCAGATCATGCAAGATTGTTGCATAGGTACATTCATGGCAAGGTGGTTTGCTGCCTGGGGGTGGAGGCATTTCTAGGGTTTGGCAAGTTTGCCTCCCCAGCAGGTCACGTGGCAACTTGCTCATGGGCTGGTGGCACTCCAGGAGGGCAGAGTTCAGCTGGAGCCTGTGGAGCTCATTTCTATTTTGATCAGGGGCTTCTTTTGCGGATTCGGTTTTAGGGGGAGCTTCTCCCATTGCGCCGGCCAGACTAGGAATCTCAGTGTACAGAGAGATGGGCTGTGTCTCAGGAAGGGCCTCGGTTTCCCAAAGTGCCCAGGGCGCTGCCAGGTGGTGCCTCTCTCACGGCGAATACCTTTGGGCTGAGGCTGGCAGCCACCTACAGAAGCCCATGGGTAGGTGCTCGCCTGTGCATTTGGGGCAGACGCTCCGGGAAGCAAATTTGGACGCGGCTGGATCTTCTCACTGTGAGTCCTACCGTTGGGGCAGGTGGGGAAGATGACGTAACAGCCTCCATGTGTTTATGTGGCCTCTGTTGCTCAGGTCCCGGCTGGAGAGTGGAATAGGTAAGGGAGACTCTACAGATAGCACCCAGCAAATATTGGAAGTGGGGAATATGGTGGCACCGGAATCCAAACCTGCCTGCCACAGTTGGGCTTCCTTGCCAGTGTGGGAGGCTGTACCTCTGGGAGCTTGTCTTTTTAATTTTATTTTATTTTTTATTTTTGTAAGATGGAGTCTCTGTCGCCCAGGCTGGAGTGCAGTGGTGTGATCTCGGCTCACTGAAACCTCCACCTCCCGGGTTCAAGTGATTCTCCTGCCTCAGCCTCCCAAGTAGCTGGGATTACAGGTGCCTGCCACCCCACCCGGCTAATTTTTTGTATTTTTAGTAGAGACGGGGTTTCACCATGTTGGCCAGGCTGGTCTCGGACTCATGACCTTGTGATCCTCCTGCCTCGGCCTCCCAAAGCGCTGGGATTACAGGCATGAGCCACCGCACCCAGCCTGAGCTTGTCTTTTACAGGATAAAGGACAGTTTACCCTTCTGAGTTCCACACATAGCCCCCGAATTCAACAGACCAGGAGGAGCCTTGGACCTTATGGAGGGGCAGCCGCCCATTGGCTCTCAGTGAGGTGCTTATTCAGGACTGCGATCGCTGTGGGACAACATCTTGGTCAGTTCAGTGAGGAGGATGTTGCGGATACGATGACAAAGCCGAACTGTGCTGGGCGTGTGGGCAGCACTCAGGTCTTGTGTGCAAAGCCCGTGTGCAATCGGGGCAGGGCAGGGGGGACTGAACGACCCCAGGGTCAACCAGTACAAGGTGTCCTGTTGGCCCTGAAAGGGGAAGGTGATTGTAGTGAGTGTCCTGGGACTCACCATTTTCATGGAACAGAACCTGTCAGCAGTCTTTAGCTCCAAACTATTTAGCCAGGTTGTTTTGAATGTCGGCTTAAGACGACCATGTCTGGTAGAAGCGCTCCAAGCCAGGGGACAGCCTTGTATAAGGCTCCGTAGTCTGGAGTTCGCCTCACCCTTTAGTAGTGGCTTTCAGCACAGCTCATACCAGGGAGCTGGAAGGCGAGATGGTAGGAGTTCCTTCCCCTTCCCTAACCAAGTCAGCACAGCAGGCCTTGCCTCCGCTGCTGTGGAGCATGTGGACCCCGACACCCGCAGGGGAAGGGGCTTGGTTAACCTGCTCCCACCCGGCAGCGGCACTCAGGAGCCTTAGGCTGTTCCTTGAAGTCACCCGCTGACTGAGAGGGCCCATTCCAGCGATGGGACACGGGGCGGATTGGGGACAACGACCAGGACAGAAATGTCTTTTAGCAACCCTGGGCCAACTGGAATGGGAAGTGGGTGATGATGCTTTCCTGGCTTCTCCTCCCCAGTGGGCCGCCTCCTGGGGAGGGCCCTTTAAACTTGAATGCTGCCTGGAATGAGGGAGATTCCAGCACCCTCATTGTTGAGAGCCCGCCCAGGGCATTCATTTGCCTGAGAGCAAACGTCAGTTAATGTGGTAAAGGGTGATCATCTGCCAGAGGGGCCTGCTTCCAAAACCACGGGATCTGCGTGGGGCGGGCCCCTGTCACTGGCAGAGATCAAGGCAGGTGGTGAAGGTGAGGCTGCCTCTGAGGCAGAGGCCTGCCACGCTGTTCCCCCCACTCCGGCTCGTGCTGTGTTGTTCCACCGATTTATCAGAGCACATCGGATTTGGGATCCTCTTGTCCCTTAGGACTCCATACGACCCATGATGGTGAATTTTATGTGTCAACTTGCCTGGGCCACAAGGGTGCCCAGACATTGGGCCAAACTGTTCTGGGTGTGGCTGTGAGGGTGTTTCTGGGTGAGATTAACC